TCTCTCTCTCTCTCTCTCTCTCTCTCTCTCTCTCTCTCTCTCTCTCTCTCTCTCTCTCTCTCTCTTTTGTCTCTCTCGCTCATTCTGCCCGTTTTTCTCTCTGCCCTGCCTGTGTCTCACTCTCGCTCGTTCTCTCCCTTTCCCTCTCGGCCCCCGCTCCTCGATTAGATTTTCGATTTGTGCGAATCCGAGGACATTCCGGCTACATTCTTCGAGGTGACCACCGCGCTAGCCTTCCAACACTTCCGGGAATCCGGGGTCGATGCGGTGAGATACGTGTCGGTTGAGGTTGATTTGTACCCAAATTTTCCAGTATATTAAGGTCAATGCATTTCCCTGACAACCGCATGTATTGAAACCACAACAGCTCGCGGTGTTGCACAACGTTTCGAGCGACTGCGGTGATCTACATTACGCCACCGAACCCAGTCAATACTACTCCTATTTTGGTCCTTGCACGCGATGCCATCTTCGATGCGTTCAGTCACCCAGGACACGGTTGTATTGGTGCCTTTGTTCAGGATTGCCACGTGAGGGATCGCGACAGCGGGGTGAATTCCGTTGAGAATTGAGCTTGCCTTTTTGCTGTTCTCAATTTCGTTGGTGCCGCCGCCGCCGCCGCCGCGGCTGCCGCTGCTGCTGTGGACCATGTTTGTCCGACCAGATCGTGGTGGAGACCGGGCTAGGGGGACGGTTGGACGCGACGAACATATTGAAGCCGGCTCTGACCGTCGTCACTTCCGTCGGGTGGGTGGAAATCTTAGTAGTGGACACGAAAGAAGCCCCCCCGCCTTCCTATCGGGTAGCCACCGACCGCGGTATCGCATTGCTGTGCCGATGAGTTTGTTCGCCTGGCACAGACCCAGAGTTTCGATTATCTCCGATGTTGGGCAAAGTTGGTGCCCTCTCTTTTTCATACCTCCTGCGCACTTTCATGGGCGTGACGCCTCCTACCTTCGAGAGACACAGTGGTAGTTTTCGCGGTGATCAAAGTGTGATAATTCTGACACGACGCAAGAACGCCATGATTTAACCACCACCACGATAACAAGCCTATAAAGCTCCAGCAGCACCACCGGTGCGCTGTGGCCGTTGCAACGTCGAGGAGCTTTCTGTGTGAACGCGCGGCGAGGTGTAGTCGGCTCCTTTGTGTTTGCGGTATTCGCTAGATGTGTAGAAAGGCCCTCACTGAGGAGAAGACCACAATCGCTCCCTCGTTTACTGGACAGCAGCAGCAGCACGCTCCTACTTTGTGTTTCGGCGCGCCTCGTCAGCCGGCACTACACACTGTTTTGGTCGTACAAATGTTCTTGTGGATGTCCACATATTCCCTCGCGTTCCTTCCCTTGCCGATGCTATTTCGCTTCCGTTTCCCTGCTATTCCTCTTAACATGCACAACGAAAACAATTAAGGCTTGACCACACGAGGATCTTGGGAGACACGGTGGAGCGAATCGCCCTCGAGAAGGCCGGGATTTTCAAGCCGGGCGTCCCCGCTCTCGTCGGCGACGGCTGTCCGGTCGACATCATGAGGGTAAGCTTCCGGCGGAAAGGGTGGGGTTGGTTTGGATTACCTGCATCGGATATCATGATGGTATTCCTCGTTGTCACAGCTGTTGTTGTTGCTGTTGTTACTGTTGTTTGTTTCCTGGAGAGGCATGCCGAATCTCCCGCCGAAAGGTATGGTAGCTGGGTTCTGAGATTCCCCACAAATGTTGTGTCGGTTCTGGTTCTAAAGTTGCAGAATGGCAAGGAACACCTTCGGCGTGGTTCAGGAGACTTGCATGCGAAGCCAAAGGACTCTGGTACGCACACGCTATGCAGACAACGTCCCCCTGCGCAAGCTTGGTTTATGCCTTCCACGCGAATCACCTCCTCCCCTGCCGCTGCTAGCCCACAAAGGCGTGGCCATTACCAATGACACCCCCCCCCTCGCGTAGTGGTGAAAACGGAGTTCGAGGAAAGCCTATGGCTTAAGATACCTGAGGAGCGGAGTGAGAAAGATTTGTTTCTAGGGAACGTATACGTCCCACCGTCGTCGAAGAAAGTCGCAAGCAAGGCGCAGGAGAACTTTGGACAAATTGAGGAAGATGTCCAGAGGTTCAGTAGGAAGGGAGAAGTTGTCATGGTGGGCGATTTCAACTCCAGAGTGGGGAAAGCTTCCAGTAGAGGACAGGCGATCGGGCAGCACGGAGAAGACAAAGTGAATGACAACGGAGTGAGGATGCTTG